ATCGTCTGGTTCTGCAAAATCAACGATACCAAACAGTGAAATGCTGAAAACTCCCAAACATCCTCTATTTGGTGAAACATTTTAGAGGTTCTCGATTTGATGCCGATTTAATGAAGCCGTTAAAACTAAAAAAATTAATATATATTTTTCATTAAATTCAAATTTAATAATGAATTTAATACACAATTGAATATGGTCTTAATAACATCTCGTTGTAAAGGCCCCAGTCCGTAGGGACATAAGAAAGGTCCCAATCCGTAGGGACATAAGAAAGGTCCACCTCATGAGGCCTGATTATAGACGACACCCCATCAATTGCAAGAAAGAGTCCACAAAAATTTCCCTCCCCATCCTTCAATAATGATTTGTTTTCGTCACAGCTAAATTTGTACAAATTATCACATGGTTTCAAAAAAATCACATGTCTAATTATTATGTTTTGTGCTAACATGTCATTCTAGAGCACATGGTAGTAGATTTAAGAAATCATAAATTTTGTATAAAATATATGTAAAAAAAATATAATCTTTTAAGTCTCTTACCATCTATCTTACGATTATATATTAAGAAAAATTATTTATGATTTATTAATTTAAAATCATATAAATATAATAGACTCGCAAAAAATAGAGTATTTTATCATGACAAAATAATTACTCCTTACTTTGTAGTACAACTAGTATATTTAATTCCAACCCCACCATTGTTGGAAACCATGGAATGAAGCAGGGCCATCCCTTCTGTAAATGGATCCAATATATGTGTGGCAAACCATCTTTGAAAATGTCGTACCAAAAACACAAAAAAATAAAAGTACACAAAATTTACATAAAGTTATATGATTATTTATGATAATTTTATTTGAAGTCAAAATATTTATTATTGCATTATAATTATAGGATTGTTACTGTCATATTCAATTATTTATATAACTTATATTTGTAAATTATTTTTCAACCATTCTTGGCCTACAAACTGATTGATAGTGACTTGTTTATTGTCATTATTTTAGCCAATTATTAATGAACTTGATGCATAAAATAACTCGAGAATTAACTGTTTATTTCTCAATTCTATGCTCCACTAATAGAAATCAAAACATTATTATATTAGTAATATGATGACATTTGCCAAACTTAATTGGGAAACAATCATTCCTATCTCCATTCAACTTTTAAAAAATGTGTTTTTTACCTGGTAAATGCGTTCATGCCCATACCTTTTTGACTATGACTTTCACTAATTAAGAAATGCATGAATTTCATGAGAGAGAGAGAGAGAGAGAGATAAATGTATAATAAGTGATGTTATATATATAATAAATAAATAAAATATGACTCCTTTTCACTGTAAAACAAAGGAAGATATCATATATCATTGGAAATTTTCAACTCTGATGTGGCTTTCTATATGTCAAGATGAGTTTTATTTTTTTTAAGTATATGGTTGCACATAATATTTATTAAATACACGTCAAAAGATAAAATATATATAATAAAGAAACATCCATTAAGATGACTATTAATTATAAAAATATTATCACCATATTATTTTGGTAAAAGAATTATCTTTTTTTCTGTAAAATAAGAATATTTCATATATAATTTTGGCACTAAAAGAGGAAAAATGTAGGTATATGTAACATTTTATTAAACCCTAAAACTAAATTTCCATTCAATTAAGTCATCAAACTTCCCAAATTGATTTAATGTGGCCCTTTTGTTACATTTAGTTCACTTTTGACTATCAAATATATTTTATGGGACTCACCCAAAGATTTATCAAAACAAAATCATAGAATCAACACCATTTCTTTCTTGCTCCAGCACAAGCTTATGAATAGTTTTTAGCATTCAAGTTGATATTATATGATATATTTAATTGTCAAAAGTGAATGAAATGTAACAAAGTGCTAAATTGAACCAATTTAAAAGTTTGAGGGCTTATTTACATGAAAATTTAGTTAAAAATATGTAAAGTTTAGAGACTTTTGGTGTAATTTACTTTAATATTAATTAGAGGAATGTTAGAGAACCACATTTTACAACTCACAATGCATCCACAATGACATAATAAAGGAGTTTAGGTTTTACATGTTTGATGTGACATTTTTCAAGTTGTAAGTTTATAATTGGAAGTCGAATTTAAAAACATCTATTCCTCAACTTCTAGATAATCAATTTTATTTTCAACTTATTTAAGTTATTTTTGCCTTATAAACTATAAGCACAACTTACATCCAACAGTCTCACAAAAAATAATAATAATAATAATAAAACAAAACTATAAGCTGCACCAAATAATACCATAATTGAATTTGTAACAAATTAAAAATTAACACATAACTTGTCATATATGGATAAAATTAAAAGAGATTTTTTTTTGTAGTCTTGCTATTTTTTCTATTAATAATTCAACTTGAAGCAATCTACAACAGAGACATGGCCAAGGAAGATTTTTCTCAACTACTAGTTTTCCACTGAAGGATTTCCAATATGAGTAAAAGCTAGGTCTAAGCATATACCAAAGTCCAAACACTATATGGCTCAGAGTTGGCCACGTTATCTGTGCCAATTGGTATGTGATCAGTGACCATGATCTTTCTTAGGTGACAGTTGCCAACTACCTGAATCTAATGGACCCACCCACACCAATCTTACTCACTCACTCCATGTCCTGATATACCTTTCTTTCTAGCCAGAAACGGGAGATTTCAGACAGAGAAAGCGCGCGCAAACTTACAGTTGAGAAAAAACTTGAATCATGTGAGTAGAGTAAATTGACCAGGACATAGTTTGCTAAGCAAATTTCACGATGTAAACTTCGGAGGATTTTTCAATGGTTATAAAAGACAAAGCTTGAATCATGTGAGTAGAGTAAATTGAAGTCGACATAGTTTGCTCCGCAAATTTCATCATGTAAACTTTGGAGGATTTTTCAATGGTTACAAAAAAGCGGTTTGGAAGTACCATATCACCACCGCGGGTGATGGTGGGGTGGAAAGGTACCTTACTTGTACACAAGTGAGTAGGGCATGACTCCGGAGGGGCGTGACTAACAACCTGTCTTTCATACGGTGAAGCTAACTGTACTCTGATTGCAATTCTGCCTCTTGTGGGGTTGGTGCATTCCCTCTCTTACCCCGATGGTGGATCCCTTCTTTTGAATTGGAAAAAGTCTAGTTTACACACCAATGCCTAAAGGTTGCAATGATACCACCAATGAGTATCTTCTTTTTTCGTTCAAAAAAAATTATCATATCAAAAAACTGTCTCCAACTGTTACATCTGGATAATAGAAAAGAGAAATATCTAGCTATAAATTTGTAATGAGTAAAACCGAATCCAAAAATGAATTTTTTTTCCTAAAAACAAAAGTGGTTTCCGTGATCTTACTTAATATTAAAATTGACTCTTAATTATCACAAAATATGATGATATATACCACTAAAGTGGTTTTCATGATCTTACTTAAAACTACTATTTTTTGGGGTATGGGGTGTTTTTTGTACCTAAACCTTTCTTCTTCTTTTTTAATACAGTGGAGGCCAATGGTACTACATCTCCTAATATATATCATCTCTATTTTGACCTGTAATGATGTGAAAGAAAGAGATAATAGAGAAAGATAGAGAGAGGAAGGATGAAGAGTGAAGAGTGGGATCTATTTTACATCATTAGGGGTGGATTGGGGTGCTCGAGCTCCCAAGCATTTTTCCATTGGAGGCAACTTAGGGAGGAAAACTGTCTGACAAAACTTCCTAGTGCTGTGAAGAGGTTTTGTCATCTGGACTAACGCCAATTGATTCAGATTTCTCTCCTTGAAGTTGTAGGTCATGTTTTAATTTTATATATCATTCATCACAGAAATGCATAATTCCTTGCGATCCTGTAAAAAAATTTAATTACCTAGAAAATTTTAAAGCAACTCATGAACTTCACGTGGACTAAAAACAGCTCTACTATAAGAATTGTAGATAAGACCTAGAAGAAGCAGGCAGCAGCAACCATAAACATCAAACGTTTTAAGCTACAATTGTGCCTCACTCTCAAAAAGTCCAGTCTTCAACCAAGGCTATTATTCTAGAACACTACTTTTTTTTTAACCATATCTACCAAAAACACAGCACTTTTTTACCAAACCCATGTCCTATCTCGTGAGCATAACGGATTACTCACCAAGATGAATTAACACACAGCTAAAAAGTTAGAAGTTGAACCAAAAACCTAAAAAATTAAACAAACTGAAGATGTATGTTAAAGCAAACTACAACAAAAGCATTGCAAAGCATCAATTAAAATCACTTTTGTAGCTCCGTTGTACTGAATCACGAAGAGTTTAATCAGACAAAAACATCTTGTACTCACAAACATAGGCCATATAGCTGAACCTCATAAATGCCTCATTACCCATTGATCGTGATCCTCATTTCCATTAATCTCTGTTACTATTTACTGAACTAGGCATACTTCTTACTATTTACCACTGCTATTTCAATGTGTCCTATATGCATGCTTCAAATTTAACAAAACTACCCATGTTTTTGAAACTGCAATACAAGAGGTAAGATTTTTCTCAACTTGAATAATGTAACAAGTCCACAAAAAGTCATTACTAGAAAGTTTGATAAAGAAAACGACAAAATAAGCTTCTTGTCTTAGGCTTAAATAGACTCTACCCAGATTCTCCTTCAATCATAACTGAGATTCCAATTTTTTACTTCACTGTTGGCCAGATAAACTAACAATTGGAGAAAAGCGGATTAGATCCTTATCATATTGTTCTGACTTTGCCATAATAGTTAACTAATAAGATCAACAGTTGGAATTTTCAAAGCAGAACCAGTGACATATGGAGGAGGGATAAAATCCCTAACCTGTCAGTCAGCAACCTCTAATGGAAACCCTCCACCATATAAACGGAGAAAGACCATTATTACTAAAATACAACCAAATTAAATTTTTTGACTGCAAAATAGAAAGAAAAAAAAAAAGAAGAAGAAGAAGACAACAGAAGCATATTCTTTTTTTTTTTTTTTTTTTCGTTTAATTGAAAGTGGTGAAAAGGGTAATCAACACTCATTTATGATGTAAAATTGAGGGAAATCAAATACAACATCTTCCTTCCCCCTTTTTGCCGGTTGGAGTCAATTGCACATCTCATTGTAGATCAAGAACATAAGAAATACAGACCAAACGAAAAAATTAAAACAGCAATGACATTTAGGGAGGGAAATTTACAATTTGAGAAGCAAGGATTAGAATCATATCTGGAAAACCATCTGCCTTCCCAAGTTTAGAGGATAAGTTCCACCGATATCTCAGCTTTCTTCCAATCCACTGAACCTCAATTTTCCTGTACAATGTCCAAAAAACAAAAAAACAAAAAAAAATGTAAGGAAGTTCACATTAGCTCCCATTACAACCATATTGACTATGTATGTTGCTCATAACCTATGGTTTCTATTCTTTTTTAACTTCATTATTTATTTTGAGTGTGTGAGCCTGAAAAGGATTCCTAACCACATTAAAGCAAAAACCCACTTCCATGGATATACCCTACTAATAGCAGTGTTGACAACTTTGCAAAATCAGTAGACAAGATCATGAAAAGACAGATTAGTCATGATGGACAGAAAACCTTACCCAACAGAAATATTTATGTTCTGTAATTTGTGCAAATTGCAGTGAATCAGGCGTTCGTATAGTCCATGCCACTGCGCTTCCGTTTGTTCGACTTTGAAAAGAAGCATATCTGTATCCAACTTGTTTTCTGCTTAACTGCTTGTGGTTTGACATCCCTCTTTGCAAACAGTTCAGCCATATACTGAACAACAGCCTGAGGAGCAGCGAAAATTGGTTGAACTAAAAACAAAAACTTCAAAAATCAATAATTTCACAGGAAATACAGGAAAGATTAATTACCTGTGCTCCCATCTGAGCTATATTTCTTGGCGGCACTTCCATGGGATTCCCTTCCATGTTTAAAACACGTAGTCGTGATAACATCCTGAAAGAGTCCGGAAGAATTCTTATCTGGTTATTACTAATATCCAGCTCTTCAAGTAATTCAAGGTTCCCAATTGACCTCGGTAGGGATTGTAGATCAGCAAAATTGTTGCTAATGTTCATCTTGACAAGTGTTGTAGCGAAACATAAGCTCTCAGGCACCGACTCAAGCTCGTTGAAACTTACATTAAACTCTCTCAAATTTGATAGGGATGACATGGTGGTAGGCAATTGTCTGATGTTATTGTAACGAACAGACAGAATCTCCAGGGATGCGATTCGTCCTACAGCTTCTGGAAGGGCCTTAAGCCGATTATAGTCTGCATGAAGCTCCTTGAGTGATGAACACTGACTAATAGTATGCGGAATTTCTTCGATATTGTTAGTCTCTACATTCAATTTCTTTAGACTAACAAGTGATCCGATTAACTCAGGAAGCACAGGGAGATGATTTGAGCTCAAATCTAGCTCCTCAAGACGGACTAATCTACCAAAAGTTTCAGGCAGAGATGTTAGCTGATTCCCACTCACATCAAGACAAACCAGGCTAAGGAGATCTCCAATGGAATCTGGAAGTTCACTAATTCTGTTTGAATGCAAATCCAATTTCGTCAGCGACAAGAGACCACTGATTTTGGCGGGCAAGGCCAGAATACGATTTTTAGACAAATCTAAGGTGATTAAACTCGATAACTTCCCTATAGAATCAGGAAGCCATTCAATTTGGTCCATCAGTTTGTTCTGAAGATTGAGATCCCTAGTACCCTTCTTCGAACACACTTCAATCAAACTAGCAAGCTTTATTAGACTCAATTTTTCACCATCTTGACCTACAAAAAACAAACCAATTTCCATGTAAATACGAAGATTATACAAACCCATCAGGTCTATCTTAATTCAATCCAAAACAATTCATGCAACTAAATCCTTCAAAATTCAACCATATCTTCTGAGTTCTGATACCTATCCATTGAATTTCAAGTGGCAGACATAGAATGACATAAATGCACAACAACAAAAGCCAAAAAACCAGAAACTCAAAAGGGTATGGACAAAACCCATTGCAGAGAAGGACCCAAACTCACCAGAAGTGCTTGGAATTTTCAGTGATGAATCCAAAATCTGCGGAGTTAACGCATCCCCAGATCGAATGCTACCCGCAATTCCATCCGAATAGAACGAAGCTGTCCCCTTTTTCACATAACTATCATCCCGGGTAAATAGTTCTGAAGATTTAGCAGGCCCTTTGTCATAGTGTAAGCCCGAAGAGAACGTGGTAGCTGTAACAGGTGAATTCAAACTAGCAACAGAAAACGTATTTGAATTCGTGAAAGACAAAGTGCTCCAATTCGTGGAAGAAGTGGAAGCTATAGAGGGACTGGGGTGGTGGGAATTGGAGGCAGAACTCGAAGGAAGACATTTCGAGGCTCTGAGAATCAAATCGTCGAACAGTGAGTGGACGTTGTCGAGATCTAGCAATTTCAGAGCCTCTCTCTTCTGTTCTTTGCTTTGAAAATGAACCAAATTCTTTTGCATCTCTTGCAACACTCTGAATAGCTCTTCGGGCACTTCAAGGCTCTTCCTCTTCCTCGCAATGGCCTCGATTCTCGCTTGCTCTTCCTTGTCGACGTTTAGGATCAATGTCTTCGCAGCCTCCACCTCGTCGATTCCGGGTCTCGCCGGAAGAGATCTGTGAGTTCTCATGATCTCTTCCACCACCTCTTCAATTGATTTCGCAGACGATTCCATTTTCCTTCCAATCCCTGTTTTCCTGACTCCCAAACACTCAATGTAAATTGCAACAAACCCAGTCGAAAAAAATAAAAATAAAAATAAAAAAAGTAACAAACTGAGAATCGATGGTGAATCTAATTTTCTGTTTTCAAAAAGCAAATTGCAACCAAAACCCAGATGAGTAGAACACGAAAACAAACTGAATTCCCTTTTTCGACGAGCTTTCTAGAACCATCAAACTAACAAAAAAGGGCATTAAAAACGACTTCAATTAACAAAAACAAGCCAATAACACGAAACCCAGTTTTTTTTTTTTTTCTTTTTTTTTTTTTCTTCTTTCTAAGAAACGCACAATCTAACAAAAAGAAAATATAAAAAACACTTTCAGAAAACGAAAGGCAACATGGATGGACCTTCTGTGTGGTGGATCAACAGGAAGGAAAATTTGAAAGCAAAATGAATCTGGGTAAACTTGTTATTGCTTTAGGAGTGAGAGTAGATGAATCTGTGGGACGAAAACCAGCTACTGAGAGAGCTAAGTAGTGGTATGTTCGTCTCGCCTCCAAAATTCAGTCATTCCCATTTTACACAGTGAATATACAGTTAGAATGATGTGTATTATCTCTAAGTTTTAGTTTAATATTGACATATGTATTACCCATGTTATTATCTTATAAAGAAAGGCCGTTTGGATAATTTGATCCAGACCGTTAACACGATAATCTATTGTGTCTGATTAGTTATCGACGACATCTACCATGCCCTCCCTTTTCTTGTAGGTAAATGTAATACGTGTCAAATTTTTTACTAAGGGGTTGTTTGGGATGACTTAAATAAGTATATTTTTTATCTTTTTACGAAAAGATGTGTAGAAAAGTAGAGAGGCGATGGGATGAAAAAAGATAAAAAGGTGGATTGTTTTGATGTTGCCAAACTTGACCTAAATATATGATTAAATATTTTATAAACGTGTAAAATTATACTCATGTAAAATATTTGATCATTTGTTATTTGGATAAATCATAAACATACCATTAAAATTTATTTAAAATATAAATCATTTTCTGAAAGTGTTTGAAAAATTAATTATTTTATTAAGTTATTTTAATTTTTGATTATTTTAATAGATTAAAATAATTGCATTTAGAAAGAGAATTGAATTTTTTTATAATTAAATATGATATTTATGAGAAAAAAAAATAATTATAAATTTGATATGACATTTTATCTTATTAATTATTTTAATTTATCTTGTCTTTTAGAATTATTTTGGCATAAAAAGCCAAAAAAATCTTATTGTCAAAGTTATGGGAATTAGATTTTACTCTCTGATTTGGTTAATTACAAATTACCATTGTTATTTTTGGGACTCTCACTTTTTATGAAGTCAAATTTAAATTTGAGTAATTTTTTTTAATTCTCTTCAAACTTTTGTTTTTTTATTTATTTAAATTTTGAGAAAAGTTTAAAATACAATTTTATTAATATATAAATAATAATAAAAACATCAATTTGTGGAAATTTTACCAATCTCCTAACCGATGTGATTTGAAAAAACAAGTTATGCATCAAACTAAAGACCAAACACGTTGTTGTCATTGTTCCTGCCGTTCTCATTGCGAACTTCAATCACCGCCAAAAATCATAGTTGAAGATGAACACCCACAATAGTAAAGGAAGAGGATTAAAAGAAGAAAGAACCATTCTATGTGTTATAAAAATCTAAAAAATTATAATCAGGAAAAAAACTTTCAAACCCCTATTCTTAGACATAAAATCCAGGAAAGTGTTTTTCAAACTCATCGAAAAGTCGTTGGAGGGATTCCAGAAATCACTAAAAAGAAGCTCTCCAATGCCTCTCCCTTAAGTCTTCTTGTTTTTATTTAAATTCATGCAAAAATCAATGAAAATTACTTTGGACCCCCAGTGGGGGTGACCCCCACCACCCCCACTGATTTTTGATTGGATGAATTTTTTTTTTTTTTTTTGACCTTGCCTTCCCAGCCTCCCACGTAGAGGTGGGGGTGCGGGGGATCCCAACAGGGCTCTAAATTTTTACTGCTCCTTTTTTGTTTAAATTTTGAAAAATTATATACAAGTTTATATTCTTTATATTCAAATCTAAATTGATCAATGTAATACATATTAAACAAAAAAAAAATTACTCAATTTTTTTACTTAAATTTGAGTAAAATTGCAAGTACAGAAGATAACCTAACAATAATATTACGAAGCTCTAAATATTTACTGAAAATTTTGTTCATAAATAAATAATGTGTGACGGTATTCAATTTAAGAGGGCCCTGTGCTTTATTTTTTGATATTTTTTTAACTTTTTTTTTATTTTTGATTTAATTTTTTTTTCTTTTGTAATTCCCATATTGCCCTCGTTTGTTAAGTAACTTAACAATGTTTGAACTTGCTTTTCTATGGCTGTTTTGGAAATTTGGCTAAAAATCAATTTTGCATGTTTAACGGATTTTTGGTCACATCAATTCTCTATTTTTTACATGTTTTTTTTAAAAAAAAAGTTTTAAAAAAATTTAAAAAATTAACTTTTAACTAACTATCCAAAACAAACCAAATGCTTGGCTTGTGCAACTTCCGCATCATTGTTGTGAAGATTTGTTATCAGCATGTCGTATTTGAATAGACTCTGTATGGTTTGATTTTTTAAACGAATTTTATGTTTTAAGTTGTATTTTGAAAGTTAAGTTCTTAAAAAGGATTTTAAAGAAAGAAAACAACCCCGGTACAGAGCCCGAATATAGGAGCTCGAATTTGGCTCAAAATTAGGGGGAAGAAGAAGAAGGAGGAGGAGAAGAAGGAGGAGGAGAAGAAGGAGGAGGAGAACTGGACTGGGGGGGCCAACAAAATAGGGCGGAGGTGGAGGTGGAGGCGGAGGCGGAGGCGGGGCTGCGATGCCGACGAGCAACAAGCTGCGACGATCGGCCGATGAGCTACGACGCCGACGACGACGACTTTGTTTCTCTCTCTCGTCTCTGCTCTTCTCCTGTGTTCAACGAAGAAGAAAAAAAGAAAGAAAGAAAAGGAAGAGAAAGAAAAGGAAAAAGAAAAAAAAAAATTGAAACCCAAAACGAGCCCCTAATTTTGGGCCCTCAAACATTATTCGAAAGAAAAGTTATTTGATTATGAATTTTAAAAAGAGTTTTTAAAAACTTTTGATTATAAGTTTTGAAGTTAATTTTTTTATTTAATTTATTATTTAGAATTTTTTTATTTTTTATTTTTTAATTGATTGATGTGAGAGAATGTGAGAAAAGAAAAGAAAGATGAGAAAGAAAAATTAATTAATTAATTAATTAATAATAACCAAAAAAAAGACAAAAGAGAAATTTTATAAGTAATTTAAAAATATATTTGATTAATATCTTTCATATACTTTATGATTTAAAAACAAAATTAAGTTTTAAAAATAAACCAAACCCCACCGTAGTGTTTTGATGATCCAATTTAGATAAATTTTTTTAAAAAAATTTTAAAATTTTATTTGGTTATAAGTTTTGAAAAGAATTTTAAATTTTTTTTAATTAAAATTATGATTTCAAAACAAAACCAAACGCAACCTATATATTTTCTTTTATGTGTCTTTGTCCATCTCCTACATATACATTATTAATTTATGAGATTGTTCAAATAATAAAATATATATATATATATATGTGTGTGTGTGTGTGTATGAGTGATTTTCTGGTCACACTGCCCGTTTAGTAATCAGTTAGAGAGAACCGGCAGAATAGATGGCTTCAATTAACCAGTAACAGAAAGAGAAGGCTCCGGCCGTGGTTCTTCCACCCGGGGGCACTCCGACGATCAAGTCAGTATATCTCTCAAAGATAAATTAAGTGCTAAACTCACAAGACAGAATATCAAAAGCATAAGATTGCGTACCTTAAACCCACGGGGGTGCCTCTCTTTTATAGTTACCTCAATCCAAATCCCATTAGAAGCCTGACTTCTATGGATTCCTGTTCAGTACTTACTTTGGACTCCTCAAGAGATAAAAATAAACTCCCTAAGAGCTTTATCCTTATCTTGGCTAAGTCTCCTCTTCATTCTAGGACTCTTGTCCCTTATCCTTTATTCGATTATCTAGGATTCTGATATCTTCGGAGATAACCTCAGCGTATCCGAGATAACCTCGGCGTCATGACCCTGACACGTAACACCTCGGCTGACACATTGGTGTCTCCTTGCCACGTATTGGTACTCAGAAATATATCCTCACAACTGCCCCTTAGGTTCTATTACCTTGGCATTCTGAGGTGATGAAACCTATATCGGTACTTCCTCTTGTATATCGGCTCAAGAACTCCTCAGCCAAGATCATTTTATGGCCGACATGTTTTCTTCAGCAAACAAGAATTCCAATGAATTTTTTCACGTGTGTGAGCTGTCACGTATCATTTGCTCAACCATTTTATTCATTCATCTCCACCTTACTGGACCGTGCTCGTGGCGCGCTTGCAAGCCGTCTCTCTCTCACGTGCGCCGTCTGACGCATACGTTCTTTTAGGCGTATTGATTACGTTTTTGCCGCCGTTTTAAATTTTTGACAAAAACCTTTCCCCCTTTCTTCATTTTTCACTTTTGCATTCGATTTCTCTTTGCTTTTTCTCTCTCTAGCTCCTGGATACGCCATTGTTCCAGCCTTCAAGCTCTGCAACTGCTTTCCGTTCTCCCTTCCTGTGAAGCTTTCGTCGTTCTCATTGCATCCGTTACTGTCGTCTGACTTCGGCAATCTTCATACCGGCTTCACTTTTTTCTGGTAAGCCACTGTTCCTTGTGTTTTCAATTCTGTTGATATTCTTTATTTCTTGTTGCCATTATTGTTTCAAATCTTGCGAATCGCATATCTAAACATATTTATTCAAATGGTTTTGATCTTACCCATATCTTGAATACATACTGTTCACCACTTTCTTGCACTCTTGTTACTATTCTTGACCATTTATTTCTCGTATTCTTTATGCTCTTGATAGCCCATCCCTGTTCTTGATTCTAAAGCACGTCTTTGCCTTTCTGTCTTCCAGATCCGTGCCTTCAACCCTTACTTTCATAGATCTAGGTTTGGGATTTGTTGTGCAGAACCCATAATTTAGGAAAAACTGAAACTAGTACTTTACCTAGATTTTTGCCGAGGTCTTATCAATAAAAAACATCTTCTTTCTGAATTTCAACCCTTCTAATTCAGGCTGATATCATGGGTATGTGGAGACATAGGGTAGATACCCCGACAAAACTTGAGTATTTTAGGCAAGAATTTTCTATCCCTGCCAATGTCCATCTGAGGCTGGCTGGAGATAACGACTCCATCATGCCCACAGATGATTCGATGCCTTTTCCCATTGTAGCTTTCACTGAGTGCGGACTCCGGCTCCCACTCAACATCATTTTTCGTGAGATTCTCCACTATTATAAGTTGAACCCCATGCAACTGGCAATCAATTCCTACCGAGTGATCAATGGCATCATAGCCGTAGCTAAACAAGAAAATGCTAGGATCACCCTAGCCGATATCCAGTATTGCTATACCATGTGTGCCCTTAATTTGAAAGAAAAAGGCTACATTTATTACCTTAAGCCGAGGTCTACAGAATTCAAAATCGTAGCCGGCC